CTCCAGAATAGAGATAACAAGCCTTAAAAACTCAAAAGAATAATATAAGTGGTGTGAATCCTTTATAAAAGAAGTACTATGCTTTGTGAAACCTTAGGAAAGTTTAACCAATGGAAAGAAAATCTTGACCTAATTTTATCTAGTCAAAGGACCTCCTTAAATAGAAATGGAATAGGATTTAAATGGGATATAAAACCAAGGAAAGTTGTAGATCAAAAGAATAATAAGCGTTCAGTTTATCTTTGTGATCTTCCTTTTCATTGTTCTCATGGATGAGAGGTTCATTAGGCGTGCCTCTTCAGTAATAGCAGCAATGTAAGGACATTTCCCTTTGCTAGCCTCCTTATCTCTGCCACTAGTCCTAGCATCTGCGACTTTTTAGGGGAATTTACTCTTGGGTGACTCTTCCTTTTCCCTCTTTCCTCCCTTCATAGTTTGGGGTTCATTTATTGCAGAAATCTTTATGGATGGGTAATATTTTTTTAGCACTAAGTCGCCTTCTTTGGAGATCAACATCGAAATATCTAGAAGATTTAATGTAACCCCAACTTAATGGGTACAATTGTGAAGGAGCAATTTTCAGATGATTTACAATGCCCACCTCAAAGTCATTAAAAAGAAGGCAAAAACCAATCAAGAAAAATAAGCATTCATGAAGAGGAATGATGCATCCATTATAATTGTTGTATATCCTATTATTACCTTTAAGTGAGAACATCCATAGTCTAAGGAAGGACCCACCTCGGTGAAGGCATGTTCAAACCACCCTTGTCGGTGAAGGCAAAAGCAATATCCAATGTTTCTTGATCTACCCACGTGTCTAAATTGTCTCTTGTCACGTTTTGGGCTCCTAAATAAGAGTCGTCCATTTTAAAAGGATGTCAACATATAAAAATAAACAATCATAAATGTAAGCATAGGGTAAATATAAATTTAAGCTTTGCATCCCTGTCAAAGGTCATTTATGACAAAAGATTTCGCCAAGTGCAAGACAAAAGGTACCAAAAGCCCTAGGATCTTTTCAGAATAGATATCACCACCCAACGTTCTACCATCAACAGTGATTTACCCCTTCAAAGCTACCATACCTTTCTTCTCTAAAAACTCTAGTAACAGAAACAAATGTAGACAAAAAAAGTTGTGAGGCGTTACCATGAAAATAATGAACTTGATGACTCGCACGATGTATGCTTCAGCAGAAGAGGTGGCTTAAAGTTGTTAAAATGATCGCTACTATAAATAAACTTTATATGACTAATATTTCACCTCGAAATGATATAAACCGAGAGCATATTTCCTAGTAGCGTCATGCTAATAACATATTACCTAGGTTATCCATAAAACAGAGGAAATATATCTATAAGGAGCACTATTTTATTTTTAATATAACCTATTACATATTACATTTTGAGGGAATATAACCTATAACCTATTTTTAATATAACCGAGGGAATATAAATATTATGGACACTTTGAGTGGTTTAATTAGTATTTCTCACTTGGCGCCTTTTCAGATTGCATTTTTTCTTTGTTAAATTTTTTTTCTTCATTTGTTCTAAGTTAATTAGTTAAAGTCGAAATCTTTGTTATCAATAAAAAAATTAAGCAATAATACAATTGAAAAGGAAAAAAATCCATTGATAATCAATTACAGATTACAAAAAAACAAGACAACAGATAATTATTTCACATATTCAAACTTCTGATTCCACTCAACTTCAACCGTTAATCCTGCTCTTTTTACCCTTTTAACCATCCCTAACTGAGAGAAAAGTTCATAAAGAACTCTTCTATATGGTTTGAGGAAAATAATTTCCTCGCCAGAGTTCACAACCATTTACATTAAGAAGTTAAAAATAGTAAGAGGAAGATTAATTTTGACTGAATAAGGAAGTACAAAAAATGTTTGTCATCTGAACTAAGCGTTTCTAGTTGTTTCTTTCTTGGAAAGAGATTTGACATTAGAAGTTGATGTCAAATTTTTGCAATTGGGATGAGAGTAGGAGGACTGACAAGGTTATTGTAGTTGACATAAGTTAGGAGAATGTGGTTTGAGAAGACATTGCTAAATCTATAATGTTCAACACAACTACCTTTTTCTTTACAATTTATTGTCTTAGCAATAAGTGATGGAGTAATAGTGATAGGAAAGTCATATACATTGGACTGTATTGACTCAACATCTTCAAAAGTTTGCCTAACAGAGGCATTTAACCAAAACTGTGTTACGAGATTAGTGTATATGGATCCATGAAGCATGTCAAAGTAACCTTTCAACTTATGTTTAAAAATAGTTTTTATTAGATCAAAATCTTAATCTTTTTAACTCATAGAAATTAACAAACTTTTCATTGATAATGAACAAAAGATTTTCATCTTCGTTAAAGGTTTTTGTAGACATTTTTTGAATAAAAAGAAAAGATTTTTAAACGAGATTGAAAGACACAAAGAGATGGAAATGAAATGAGGCATGAATGGTGTATAAATAAATTAGAAAAAAGGAAGTGAAACAATCGGAGAAGCTCAAACGACTCCTTGAAAATCCAAAAGATATCTTATGTTTTGAAAAGGGACGATCATTGCTATTCTTTGATATGATTTCAAGACGTGATGTTTTATTTTTATTTTTAAATATAAAAACCACATATTACCTCGATTTTTTCATATAGCCGAGGGGAAAAATCAAAAACTAACAATTCAGGAACCTTTCTTTTTTATTATATTTTTTATTTGTAAATATTCTTTGTAATAAATGAAATGTAAAAAAAACAAAGGTTATTTACCTCGGTTTTCTATTAAAACAAGGGTTAAAGTATTTTACTTAAATTAAACATAAAAAATCATTAGTGATTTTGTTGATCAAATATATGATGTTCATTTTATGATATATCAACACTCACGACACTATCATTAGTGATTTGTTTGAAACTTAAAAAACCTCCATTATAAAAGTATATTTCTGAATATGAAGAAGAAAGTGAAGCATCATGAAGCGCTTAAAACTATCTACATCCACCTCTTTAGGTTTTGCAAGATCATTTGCCATGAAAAGATCGCTAAGATGGATTCAAGAGCATAAAATTATTTGGGTTTAAGGTTTGTGTTCTTAAATATTTATTTGAACAAAAAAATTATTAATTTAACTTTTTTTTTGTTTTATATCATAAACAAATTCATGCGAGATAAAGTCATTAGGAATATAGTCGCACCCAACATTTAATCTTGCCTAAATATCAAGGATTCGAAGATCTAACATATGATCTCCATGGACTAATTAACTTTTATTTTAATATTTTGTGTAAACAATGTAATATTCTGGGTACACATTGCAGTTTGTAACAAAATTATTTTATCAATATTTTGTGTAAACAATGTAACGAGTTTTAATTATAAAAAAATCTATCTTACCCTTTGGTTTTATGGATAAACAGAGAAATATGAGACATTGTTTTTGTAAATAATAAAAATACAGATGATGGGGTTCAAACCCATGATCAAATAACTTTACCCCTCGATTTTTTATTAGCCGAGGTGTTAAGTGACATTTTTTCATGTCACCCTTTGTTACGTTGCATCGGTAGTCAAGGTTACATCTCTTTCGCGTCCAACGTTAAAAGCGTTATTTGTAATATTGGATGACCAATTAGAGGATATTGATAAGATGAAAGAAGTTGCAAACACAAAAGAAAACTCGTAAGGTTCACAATTACGAAAGGGATTGAATCCTTGTATACTCTCCAACAAAGGCGATTGTACGATCCACAATAGTAAATGTTGGAAAGCGTGAGCCTCACCAACAACAACTAGATTTTACCTTAGACTGTTCTCGAATGCCATAGTACAAGAAGACATCATTGTTGTTATACAAAGGGTCAGACGTCGAGACTCGTCTGCTAGACATAACTAGTCATAAGGGAGATATTTAATGTGTTTGTTCCCAATATTATTGATGTCTCCTAAAAACTCTTCCACTTTCTTCTGCCAAAAGCCTGACCGAAAACACACATGACAAACCCTCGTTCTATGAGTAGGAAAAGAGTTTTCGGGGAGCAACTATTTTGGATCGCTTGCAAGATCTACGATAAAAGGTCCAATAATAAGTATTGCACGAAAATACGCGCAGAACAGGTGAGACGTCTCTCTAGCCGAGGATGACCTGCAACACATTTTTCACTATTAGATCTCACGAAGACGGTTTTAACAACTCACATTATATAAAGCTCAACCTATGTTATTTCAAATATTCTCTCTTTTACACTCAAACTATTTTTTCACTCATTCACTGACTCGGACGTTGAAGTATTAACACTTAGACGGAGTGTTGATCTTACATGATCATTCCCTCTCCGTCGTATCTAAAGCTCACTTCAGTTGCGCATCACAACTCAAGTTTCATTCCATATATCTTTCTCTCTTTTTTTTTAACATAATAATTTAATCTATCTTTTTAAAAGAAATGCACATTACTTTTTTTTTTTTCATGTTTCCTCCATAGGAAATATTAGTCTTACATATTTGACGTACTTAAATTGATTATTGTAAGATTTGGCCAACAATAATAACTGTGTTTTACATGGTATGACATGTTTGTGGCTTGAGCGAATGAAGTGGCTATTTTGTCTCTCTGCCATCACAACATAAACCATTCATTGCACTTCCACTTCCACCCTTCTTCATCTTTCTCTTCTAATCCGTATCAGGTATGTATCTTCTCATTCTCTCTTCTTTTTCATTTTTGATTCCATAAACATTTTCATTTTTCTACTTTCAAATTATTACATAATGTGATATATAGCATTTCATAATGGGTTTCTCTTAAATTATAAGATTGTTTATTTATTTATAATATTACTTTTGATATTAATAGCAAGTTCTCAGTTTTATGTGTTTATGATTATTCTCCAGCATTGTAGAATCTTGTAAAGGTTTTGAATTTAGGGTTATTGGTGAAGTAAGAAGAAAGGGTGAATTGGATTGGTATAGGGATATAGTGAGTTGAAATGAGTGTGATAGGGTTTGATATTGGAAATGAGAATTGTGTTATTGCTGTAGTGAAGCAAGGTGGGGTTGACATTTTGTTGAACGATGAATCGAACCGGGAAACCCCTGCTGTTGTTTGCTTCGGAGAGAAGCAACGGTTTTTAGGGTCCACCGGTGCTGCTTCTGCTTTGATGCATCCGAAATCGACGGTATCTCAAGTCAAGAGACTAATAGGAAGGAGGTTTGATGACCCGGATGTTCAAAATGATCTAAAATTGCTTCTGGTTGAAACTTCTGAAGGTCCGGATGGTGGCATTTTGATTCACTTGAAGTACTTGAAGGAGACTCATAAGTTTACGCCAGTTCAAATATTAGCGATGCTTTTTGCTCATTTGAAGACTATTGCGGAACATGATTTGGGGACCGGTGTTTCGGATTGTGTTATTGGAGTTCCGTCGTATTTTACTGACTTGCAGAGACGGGCATATCTTGATGCGGCAACGATTGCTGGGTTGAAGCCTGTGAGGTTGCTTCATGATTGCACTGCAACTGGTCTTGGTTATGGTGTTTACAAAACCGATTTCCCCCATGGAGATCCAATTAACGTCGCGTTTATTGATATAGGTCATTGCGACACTCAGGTATCTATTGCGTCATTTCAGGCTGGGAAAATGAAGATACTTTCTCATGCTTTTGATACGCGCTTAGGAGGTAGAGATTTTGATGAGGTTCTATTTAGACATTTTGCGGAAAAATTTAAGGAACAGTACAAGATCGATGTGTATTCTAATGCTAGAGCATGTAATAGGCTGCGTGCAGCGTGCGAGAAGTTAAAGAAAGTTTTGAGTGCAAATTTAGAGGCACCTCTTAACATTGAGTGTTTGATGGATGAAAAAGATGTTAGTGGATTTATCAAGAGGGAAGAATTCGAGAGTCTTGCATCAGGATTATTGGAGAGAATTTGTATTCCTTGCAACGAGGCGTTGGCTAACGCTGGCTTAACTGTCGATAAGATTTATTGCGTTGAGTTAGTTGGTTCAGGTTCAAGAATTCCAGCTATCACTAAATTATTAACTTCGTTATTTAAGAGAGAACTCAGCCGAACACTGAATGCAAGTGAGTGTGTGGCTCGTGGTTGTGCTCTTCAGTGTGCAATGCTTAGTCCTGTCTTCCGCGTTAAAGAATACGAGGTTTGAATACTGAAACAAAACGCCAATTCTTATCCTATCCATAATTTGCATAAAATCAATGTAATTTCTCTTATTTATTCAGGTCCAGGATTCTATTCCATTCGCTATTGGCCTTTCCTCGGATGAAGGTCTAACTTGCGCAAAACCAAATGCGGTACTTTTCCCAAAAGGCCAACCCATTCCAAGTTCTAAAACTCTTACATTTCAGGGCAGTGATTTGGTCCGTTTGGAAGCATTCTATGCTAATCCAGACGAAGGGCCAAAGGGGACATCTCCTAAAATCGGTTGCTTCACGGTATGTTTTCATTAGAATTCAGATCATCTTGTGCACTGTCATATATGCTTATACATTTGTTTGCGACTTCGACTCAGATTGGTCCTTTCCATGGATCCAGTGGAAATAAAGCGGAATTTGAAGTTACAATTCAACTAAATTTGCATGGCATTCTCAATATCGAATCATCTACAGTAAGTAAGAAGCCTAATTTTAATCTCTCAATATTACGTTATCAGTTTTCTGAGAGATCTAGGTATATACATGAACTTCAATTTGTCATCAGTTGATCAAGGATCATGTGGAAGATTCTGTTACACCACATGATCATCATTCAAATTCGGAAGCAATGAATGTTGAACCCGTTTCGGAGAAAGGTCAAAATGTCAATGAACCTAAGAAGTGTGAATCTCCACATAGTTCTGTAAGTACTTTGTTGATGAACACTTTTTTAAATGGAATGTCTCAAATGTAAGAGATTTCTCGTGAAAAATCGTATAGCTAAATTTATTGTATCAGTTCTGATGTTGAATTCTGTGACATGTCTCTCGGGCTATCACAATCACAACTTTTTGGTAATGTCTGATAATCGTATATGTATATTTTTATTTTGTGTTTTGATTGCAGATATGATTCATGTTGGTGATTTGAGTAAATAAAGTGATACTATCATGCCTTTTTTCAGTCTGATGGTACGGAAAAAGTTAAAGCCGACAAAAGGGTTCATGTACCAGTGAGTGAGAGCATCTATGGTGGAATGACGAATGCTGAAATCACGGAAGCACAAGAAAAAGAACACCAATTAACCGAGCAGGATAAAACAATGGAGTTAACCAAAAACAAGAGGAACTCTTTGGAGTCTTACGTCTATGATATGAGGAATAAGGTATAGATGCAATATCTTAAAAAGATGAAGATGTAGTTTTTGTGACTCCGATAATTTATGCAGTCACACACTTCTTCTTCATAATTCATATTTTTTGCGTATTTGTGCATAGCTTTTCAACGTATACCGTAAGTTTTCAAACGAGGAAGAGAGGGATGACGTAACTAGGAACCTGCAAGAGACTGAGGAATGGCTTTATGGTGAAGGCGATGATGAAACAGTAAATGCATATTCTGCAAAGCTGGCAGATCTAAAACAGGTAATTTTTTCTTCTCTAATATCCATTTTTCCTTTACTATACTTCTTGTTCACATTCTCCACCTTCTATAGCTGGTGGATCCAATCGAGAGCCGGTGCCGAGACGAAGAAGAAAGAGCGCAAGCTACAAGAGATTTATTAGGTTGCATTGTCGAGCATCGCCTGTCTGCAGATTCTCTTCCGCCTCAAAGTAAAGAACTGGTATGACAAATAGGTGAATAAATTTTATTTTCGGATGCAGCTACTAACGTCGATTTAAAGTGACAAAATTTCATGTTTTAGATCATCAATGAATGCAATAAAGCAGAACAGTGGCTACGAGAAAAGATGCATCAGCAAGACACTTTGCCTAAGAGCTCTGATCCAGTATTTTGGTCAAGTGACATTAGTAACAAGGCACAAGATTTAAACTTGTAAGACTTTTTACCCTTATGTTCGACACATTGTTTGATCCTCGAGTGCAATCAGTGTTGTCAAATAGCGGCGCTATAGCATAGTGGAATCTGAACAGACCAATATTGTTTACAATACACTCAAATAGAGGCGATATACAATTGACAACATTGGCACTAACATCCATTGATTTTTCGTCTCTAGAGTAAGACTAATGAATGTTTTATTTTGATGGGTTTTAGAATATGTCAGCAGATATCGAGATCACCATTTCCAGAAGACAAAGAGGAAGAGGAAAAGGAAGATGAGAAGAGTACTTCTTAGCATCAATGAAGACAATGATGGTGTCATGGTGATACCTGTTAACTGAATATCTAAGTTTTTATTAGCTGTTAGCTTTAGACAAATATATATTTTGTTCTCTTAAAACTTTTACCATGTTTATGGAGTTTAGGAAGATAAGTCTAAATATTTGGAAATCAATTTTTAAATAATATTTTGAACTTTCAAATATAATTTATATTAACTTTAAAAAAAGTGTCATTTTTTAATATTGAAAAGAATAATGTTTTTTAAATATCTGTGTGAGATAGAGTTCAATTTATGGTCTGTTTGGAAGGTAGATTTTAGAAGGGAAGGGAAGGGAAGGGTAAGGAATGATTTGTTTTTCTTTTTTACATATAAAATAATTTTAGAAACGAATGAAGTGCTGTTACATTACTATATGATTATATATTATGATAATGTTTTAAATGGTATAGACCATGCATGTGATAAGTTAAGCAAGAGGTTGTATATAGATGATTCCTATAGAGGTTGAGAAATCCAAAGAGCAAATGGCGTTCTTGTACCCTAATATTGCTTTATTCAAACTCAACCTCTTCAAGAACAGCTAAAAGGTTGTATGTTATTTATTTTCATTTTTTCTTGTGTTCATTGTTCATGTGTTATTTGGTTTACCCTTTTGTAAGTGCGTCATTTTATGAGAAGTATTAATGAAATTTTTTTTTTCTTTTCAATTTTTGCTTTATTAATTTATTATGTGTTACCTCTAATTTTTCTCAATAGTTTTTTTTATTCTTCTCATTTCGTGAGTATTAATATGCAGGTTGTTATACTTAAAAAATATTGTCCAGGGTCGCTTGAGAATTTGAAAATATTGGTACGCCAAACCTTCAAATAATGTATAATCACATTTCTCTCTACCTCGTAATCTCTGACACTACATGTGGAATGTCCTTGATAAGGCCATTGGATTAAAAAAGTTGGTTGGGGCATGACGTAGGCCTAAGAATCGATGTTACTTGTCACACTTGTTGATGAAGTCCCTTAGTAGGGCTGACAATGAACCGAACCAACTCGAAAATAGTTTGGAATTCGATTCGACAATTAAATCGTTGAACTAGATTCATGAACCAAATGAGTTGAGTATGAACAAAAAAATTAAATTCGTTAACTAAATGAGCTGAACTTGAACTATACATAGTTCGACTCGTTAGGTTTATGAGTCAACTCGATTACATATGAGAAAAATTATACCGTTTTTAAGATTAGGTTTAAATATTTACTCCAAATCTTAGACAAATTTAATCTTCAATTTAGTAGTTTTTGAATTATACTCTCAAATGTATCTCTTGAAAGTTGTGTAGGTTATGAATTACTAGATTTCGAAGATAAAGTTAAATTTCAATATGATAACTTTTATTTTATTTTAAAAAAATATATTTATTTAAAATGTCAAATATACTAAAATATATATATATATATATATATATATATATATATATATATATATATATATATATATATATATATATATATATATATATATATATATATATTAAAAAAATAGTTTTTAAGTCCGTGAATCATGTGAGCTGAACCTAATGAGATGAACCTAACGAGTTGAACCGAACTGTTCGTGAATTTATAACGAGTCGAGTTTGAGCTTAAAAAAAAGTTCGTGTCGAACTCGAATTCGAACCAATTCTAACGAGTCGAGCCGAGCTGAGGTGAGTTCGACTTGACTCGACTCATTTCCAACCCTATCCCTTAGCAAAGTAGGCCAATAATACTCAAATCTTAATAACATATTCTTCTTGACCCTCTTCATCTGAAGGAAAGTTCTCACTATTCAAGTATTGGAATATGGGTGTCATCTGACGACAGATCGTAACGTTTCTAGTTCTTTTTAGTGTTTTTTGTTTTTAGTTTGTTCATGTTTTTGTAGGAATTAATAAAGATTCTAAAGAACTAAATACCAATTCAAATCAAAATATTTCTAACTATACAGATTGCATGGTATCTTATGGAGAAAACTGTGATTGTAAATCAAAGAGAGGACTAGAACATGAGAAACAGAAGAAAAAGCAGAAATTTGTAAAGAAACAACAGATAGCAGCGCTGCTAGAAGTCATAGTTGTGATATTAAAATCAATAATAGTTGATAAAGATGTTGCCTAGTTAGAGTGGCGCTATTTTGAGCTACTGTCATGAAAATTAATGGTGCTTCCCATATATGGAGCAACTTGATTTCTACGATTCCAAATTGGCAAGTCAGAGAAATTGCAAAATAGTAGTACAACTAAGGTCTCGATTGGCATAATTTTACTATTCATTTTTACTTTTATGTAATATTTTAATCATATATGGAGTTTCATAAGTCCTATTGAGTGAAACTAACGGAAAGTGAAATCTAACTTCTAGAACTATAACTTTTGCAAAGAATTCAATGTTTAATTCTAACTATAAAAATACGGAAAACAACGAGAAAAAAAAACCAACTTGGTGATAATGTTGAATTGTAAAGATTGGGCTATTCTCTCAACCCTAAGCCTATTACAATGCTTATTTAATGAGAAGCATGGCAAAGATTTTGAAATGGCATATTCTGAAGCTAGAGTAGGAGAAATGAAATACATCATTAGGGAATCATCCTTAATTGTTGAAAGTTTTCTTTCTTGATTTTATTTGTTATAGTCATGCATCCTTTAAAAATGAGTGGTTGGTTCCCCTAGAGGAATTTTTCCCAACTGTGTGAACCATGTGATCAGCTATGTTTTGTTCTTTGTAAATAAATCTTTTCTTATAATTTTTCAATTTTGTTTGGACTTAATTTTTTTTCTTCTGTCTACAATTGAGAACTAGTCGTAGATTTTCATAGTGAAATCAAATTGAATTTTGGGATTGTTTATGATTGCTAGATATAAGGCATATTCAATTGAGGCATGAGATGTTTTATGTGCAAAAATTTTTTTTGCGGTTATGTTAGTGTTACTGGGAAAATGACAATGACAAAGAGGGTTACTCGGCAATTAATTTATTGATAACTATTTTAAAACAATCATGATTAAGAGTGATCATTACAAGTTCAAACAAAAATATATCACATGATAAGAGCAAAGGATTCAAATTAACAAAAGTTTTCCTCATAGATTCATTCAACTATTAGTTTAGCTTACTTAATTTCATAGTTATAAAAAAAAATAATCAGTCATGTTCTTCGCACCCCCTGGTTATGATTATTTTTCATTATGCTTCTGATAACAAGTACTTTATCCCTGATCTTGTCAAATTAACAAAAATCCATGTGGATACAATATAAATTTACTTGCACTTTGTGATTTTCATTGGCTCAAATAATACTAGAATTCAACATGATTTTACCACTAACATCATCCAACCTTTTTTTGTTTACATTATTGAAGGTGTTAATTTTTGTGACTTCGGTTCTGGAGGCATGCAATGTTTCCTATATTATTCTTTTGTTGTATGTTGGTTTTTTTGTGCCAGTGAGTTTCAAGATGCTCGAGAGTTTTTTTTTCTCTAGGCACATATGTCACCTCCAAGAAGTTGAAATGTTTGAACAATTCTTATACCTTATGCAAATATTTTACCATATGTGTTTATTTCATCTGGTACACTTCACTTACTTGACTAGTTACCAGCTGAGAGTCACTTCTTTCTCTGAGAGTGAAAGCATCCATCTCTCTTTCCAATATCATTCTTGATACAAGGGTTTCGTATTCCACTAGGTTGTTACTCACCTTGTGTTCAAAGTGCATCAATTTTTCAATCAATATCTCTCCTGAGCCTTCCAATACTACCATGGCCTTGTTTCCCTTCAAAATTGAAGTTATATCTACTAACAAGATCCATGTGCGAGGAGTGTCTTCACCAACATGCGAACTAAATTCCACCGAGAAGTCAACTAGGACTTGAGATTCGATGCTCCTATATGTGAAAACATTAATGTCAAATTTGGATAGCTCTAATGACCAATATATCATTCGCCTTATAAGGTTGGTATTTTTCAGGAGCTAGAAAATTAGATTCTTTGTTTTAACTATTATATGGTGTCCATGAAAATACGGTCTCATCTTTCTCATTGTGGTGAATACTATTAAAGTTAATCACTCTATCTTTTGATACCTTAACTCGGCTCATTTAAAGACCTTGATTACAAATTAGATTAAACTTTTTGTTCCATCTAGCTCACAAATCAGTATAGAGCTCATGGAGTTATTAGTTACTAAAAGGTATACATACAATGACAGACCTTCCTTCAGAAGGGATTAGAGGTGTCGCCAAAAATATTTTTCAACTTTGTGAAAGATTAATCGCACTCCTCCATCCATTCAAACTTTTCCCTCTTCTTGAGCATGGAAAGTAAGTCGAAGGTCTTGTCACCTACACATGACAGGAAGCAAGATAGGGTGGTTATCTGCCTCGCCAGCTATTAAACTTATTTGACTGTTGTTAGGTTTCTCATTTTAAGTATAGCTTAAAATATGTATGCTTTGCCTTTGATTCCTCTTCTTATTAACATAAACCCCAAGAGCTTCCCTACTTAGACTCCAAAAGAGAACTTGGTCGAGTTTAGGCACATGATATACCTCCTAACAAATCTTAAAATTTCTTCCAAATCCTTATAACGGTTTTTCTCACCCAGTATATTTACCATAATGTCCTTTATGTATACCTTCAAGTTCTTCTCTATCTTCTCTATAAACACAATGCTCATCAGTCTCTATAGGTGGAGTCGAAGTTCTTGAAGCCAAAGGGAATCACCTCATAATAATTAGAAGTCTTGGTCGTGAAGACAGTCTTGGGCACGTCCATGGGTTCATCTTGAGTTGATTGTGCCATGAGCATATGTGTCCCTGAAACTGAGTATTTTGTGCCTTGGATCTTTGTAATAAACATGTCTATATCAGATAAGGGAGATGGATCATTTGGACACGTCATATTGAGATCGATGAAGTTTACCCATATCCTCCATTTACTGAGACCTTTTCACCGTTACGACATTGGCAAGCCATGTG